GCTTTTTGGAAATCTGCCCCCCCCCAGTCTCCCCATCACCACCCCCTACCTAGGGGCTTCCAAAGGCAACCTTTCAAATATTTGAACACAGCTATAATATCCCTCCTAAGTCTCCCCATTTGCTCAACCGTCCAGAATTTGACGCCAATTGTTCACCCACTGCATCGTTTCTTCACTTGGTGATCCTTTTTTAATATATTAGCTTCCAAAGAATCCCTTCTATGTAAGCCACCTATGTAAGCCACCCTTCCCCTAACAACATCATTTTAAAAACATCTTTGGGTCTCAAACCTCCTACTCTTCAGGGTCTGATATAATACTGTTCAGTTCTGATATATATTGGTGCTCTGATTTGGGGGTTAATTTAAATGTCAAGAGCACAGGCTCTGAAGTCAAATACACCAGTGTTCAAATCTGGGCTCTGCCACTTACTAGCTGTGTGACCTTGGGGAAGTTTCTTAGCCTTTCTGCGTTTCAGTTTCCTCATCTGTAAATCAGGGATAGGGATACTTACTACCTGGTGTTGTGATGAGCAAGAAATGAGATAAGGCCAGTGAAACACTTGAGATAGCTCCTGGCTGCATCATTCAGTTCCTAAGTGACCATTATAAGCACATTACTCTGAGTTTAAGGCTGGAGGGGGTGCTTTGGAGAAGAGAGAGAAGAAAAGGAGAAAAGAAGGCATTCTGGAGTTATGCAGCCTTTCCCAAGCAGTGTGAATGCCAGGTGAAATCCAACAAAAGGGTACCTTGCTCTGGTCTCATTTCCAATCTCTGGCCAGACCCCCTCCACTCCCCATCCCCACCCTGTAATGGGGCAGGTCTTGACAGCTCTTTGAAACTCAGAGGGTTTAAAATTTAAATGTCTTTGAGGGTAAGAGAAACACACCAAAATAAACATACCTCCTGCTGAACAGAGAAAGGGAAACTTGGCAGGCGCCCCAGAACTTTCCCCACCCCCAGCCCTCCCTAAACTTCCTCTTGTGGTTTCTCAAGAGTACAACCTGTTCTCCCCAGCCAAGAAAGCGCCTGAGGCAGGGGGCTGGGGCATGCCAAGGGTTCCACCGCACCCCACCCGATGACAAGGGAGGAAAGTATGCATGGCAGAAGAGTGGCCTGGAGGTCTATATAGTTCTGAATTTCACAACCTGCTTACCTGTTATCTTGGTATGGCCGTGCTTTAACCTCAACTGCCAGCCTCAACACCCATCCCCGCCCCCAGCACAGGCCTCTCTCTCAAAGACAGATGCACAAGGTGGTTTGACTGCAGGCAGAGGGGGACCACTTCAGGCCTCCCCAGATCTGTGCAGAGAACTCTTGAGAAAACCTAGAGTTTCGGAAAGGTAATGGAAAAGCGGCTTGGAATCCCTGGAGCCTCCGCCCTGTGGCCTGGCTCACATCCAGGGCAAAGTCCCAGCCTGCCTGGAGGGAGGGGGTCAGATAACACAGATGCAGCTTTGGGATGCAGCATCTGTGGGCAAGAGAAGCGAACATCTTAAGACTGCTTCCACTTCCTTACTCAGCTACCAGGTTGGACTGTTCCTTTTGGAATCTAAAATAGGAAGGTCTTTGCTAAGATTCCCACCAAATGAGGTGTCTTGATCTCCCACACCCCCAGAGTCTGGTACATCACATCCATGTTGCCTTCTTTCTTGCATCAAACTGCAGTTTGTTCCTCTTGGTGAGTGAGGTTTATTCAAGAAAACACACACATGGCCTTAAGGAAAGGATACCAGCTCAGTGCAGTCCTACAAGCCTACTCCAGACCTACTGGGGCTCCATATAAACCATTACCAGCACCCACACTCAGCTAAAAAGTTTCTCTCCCCTTTACCATTCAAGACACAGGTCCTTTCGGAAAACTCCTAAGTCCTTGGCTTAAGTGGACATTCTGTGTGGTCAGTCCAGGAAGCAAGCTAGCCTAGTGCTTAATAACAGGGTCTCCCGGGTCAGGTGACCTGGGTTTCAATCTCAGCTCTGCCATTTATTTCTGGTGTACTCTTTAAAAAAATGACTTACCTCTTCTGTGCCTAGGCTTTCCTGTCTATACAATGCGATAATCCTAGTGCTGACCTCATAGGACTTAGGGAAATTAAATGAGACATTACACCCCAAACATTTAGAAGAGTGCCTGACAGTACTAAATAAGCATTAGCTGGTATTCTGAACACTTGAGGGAAGGAAACAAAAAAGAGGAGGCACTAAGGACCAAGGTGGTCATGGTCTCAAGGACTAGGATCCTGCAGGAATTCTCAGAGATGCTTTGGATGGAAAGTTCCAAGCAGAGTAGAAGCTCTGACTTGTTTACCATTATGTTCCCGACATCTAGCCTGTGCAGAAAGTATGGCCATAGCTAAGAGGCGGTGAATGAATCCATCAAGTGTTGTATCAGTCATCTCTCCAAGGAGCCCAGGAATTGAAAGAGAAGAATCTGCAGGAACATGATGGGAGATCTAGTTCTCTTCACCCATTCATGTCTGGTCCCCAAGAGAACCGAGGTGGGGGGCACAGAGGAAACAGCGGAAACAATCCCAAAGTCCAAGGGTGAGGAATGAGTACCCCAACATTGTGTGGATGTTCACATAACCCTCAAGTGGACTCCCAGCTGCATGCAGCTGGGAATTTCTGGATTCTTAGGGACCAGCCCAGAAACTTGCCTTTCCCTGACTTTATCCTGTTCATTCCCACCTCTTCTTCATGCCTAGACAGCAGGTTAAAGAGAGCAGGAATGCCTTCAGGGTCCTCATTGTATCCCAAGGTCCAACACGAGTCAGGGTTCAGTACAACTCTGTGGAATGAGCAAGTGGGCCCAAAGACTTCCTACCACTTCTCTGCCTAGTGACTCTCCATCACCCAGAATCCGACTCCAAAGTCCTCTTCTCTCTGGAGTCTTGCTATAGCCAGACCAATTTGGCACTTTATCTCTGTTTTTCTATGACCCACACTAGCTGTAGATGAATAACGTTATTCATTGCACCCTCAGCATCCCACAAATTCCAGACACATAATAGGTGCTCAATGTTTGCAGACGAAACCATTATGCTCCCTTAGTAACAGCAACCAATTTCCTCAGTTACTCTTCTTGGCAATACATTAAAAGACACAGAAGAGGCTTGTGTGCCCATCAGACACCAGAGGGACAGACACTGAGGGGTCCTTCCTTCCAGTCCTGTCTTCAGACCTCCTCCCTTTTCCCCGGCTGGCAGGAGGACTCGAATGCTCCCTGCCCACACTGGTTCTGCCTTCCTGCTCGCCTCCCATCCCTATCTCTGAGGTATGAAGAACGACGACAACCCAGTGAGGCCACTGGGCTTCTAGGTCAGCTTTGGGAGGAGCTGTGGGGACAGGGCTCAGGGCTTTGGGGGCGTCTCTGCTCTTCAACTACGTGCAGAACAGCTCATTGGGAGAGAAAGTGAGCCGAGCTTTGAGGGACAACGGGGAGGTGATGAGGACGCGGTGACCCCCTTAACCGACCCAACTCTGACCACTACCCCAGGCGTCCAGCCTGAACTTGGAGGTCCCAGCGAAGGGTGGAGAGGCTGACACCCCACCTATCTAGGCTTCTTCAGCCATCAAGCCTACCTCCATAGCAGGTGAGCCCCCCGAAGCACGGACTGTGGCCTCATTCTCCCGTCGCCTCTGACTTCTGTCTTTGGGGAGGTAGGGGGTCGCAACCTCCAGCCGTGGGGAGGGGCGTGCACTCCTCCGTCAGGCGCCCCAACAGAAACAGTCTCCACCCCCGCGGGCGCCGCGTGTTTACAAAGTCCGCGCTGCGCCGCGGATCCCGAGTTTAAAGCTGGGCAGGAAGTGGGGAAGTGGGGGCGGGGGAGACAAAGGGGCTGGGTGCTCGGCTCGACTAAAGTTTGGGCCCCGACTCCTCCCCCGGCCGCCGGCGGCTCGCCCTGCAGACCCCGACCCAAGTGCCCTAGGTGAGGGGGCGGGGAACGCCCCCAGGCTCAGGTGCGCCTGCAGGGCCGGTGCGGCACGGGTTCCCAGATCTCTGCCCTCTGGGCGTTCGCCAGTCATTCACGCCTCGCGCAGGAAATAAGCTACAACTTTAGGTGCTGTCTCTTGACCTCTTACTCTACGTCTGGCACTGTGCCAGACCCTTTGTGTCTATTAGCTCATTTTCTTCTCTATCAATCCCACCCCGGTTTCACACCCCCCCCCACACACACACACACAAGGAAACTGAAGCACAGTGTGGTTAAGTAACGTGCCCGAAGTCCCACAGCCTGCAAGTGTTAGGATTCAAAGCCAGCGTCTGCGCCCTCCCAGGCACCCGCAAACGGAACCGAATGAGGCGCGGTGCGGTCCCCGGTCCCGGCACGGAGAACCCCGTCCCAGAGTGGCTGATGAGCGAGTGAGGCGCAGAAAACCTCAAGCACCCGGGGGACGCAACGCCCTGGGAGTGAGGCGGGCACCGGACAGCTTCCTGCCGTCTGCTTGCCCCGCAAATACCTGCGGATAGATGGCGAGAAGGCAGAGGGATGCAGCGGAAGACCTGGGCTAGCTGGTCGGTAGGCTCTAGTTCAAGTGGACCATTGGCGGGCTGCGGGGCGGTCAGCACAAAATAAGGTTTCCCCAAATTAACAGGCCAGGAGAATCACCTGGAGAGCTTCACAATACGGATTCCCAGGCCCCTTCCCCATTCAGTGAGTCACCGGGACCGAGCGGGACCCAGCCAGGTGTTGCTAACTAACAACAGGCAAGTTTGGAGCGTTCCAGGGATGTGCTCTTTATGAGAAACGATTTCACCTAGAAATAGGTGTGAGACCGAGGGCGCATCTTCCAAGCCAATTCCGAGGCTCACTGGGGGCCCAAGAACCTACCACTCACTGAACATCACGTAAGCCGGGGTCCTCAGACAACCCGCCCCCCGCCTCCACCGCCAACCTCCTGGGCTTAGGAAAACTCCGAGGGGCGCATGCCGCCCCGCCCCTCGCCGCCCCTCCCCTTTCGGCGACTACAAGTCCCATACTGCCCTGCGCTCACGCACATTACGCCAGAGCAAGATGGCCGATACGGCGGCCACTGCCGGGGCCGGTGGCTCCGGAACGGTAAGGGCGGGAGGAGTGGGGCCGAAGGCGAGAAAGTCTGGGCATTCTGTAACTTCACCCTAGTGTGGGCAACAAGCTCATAGCCAGAAACCCAGCCCCACTATGAGCTCCGAGTGGAGGAGCGTCTTTCAGGCCGTACATGCCCCCCTTCTTGGGACTTGGCTACGGCCTCCTGAGTTGGTGGACCTGTGTACTGATTGGCTCCTTCCCTGTTGGGGGTTGGGAACCCGGAACACCTCCTGATTGGTCCGAAAAGGCTGGTTTTGCCTTCTTACTGGCCAGCCGAAGTTGGGAGGGATTCCCGTTTCAAAATATTTAGCTTTCCAACTTTTCTAAGCGGTTGTCCTTTGCCTTCCTCTCTTCAGCGTCGTGTGGTGGTTTAATTTTTCTTGTTAGCGAAATGTTATGGAGGTGGGAGGAACAAGAGAGAGATCATTGTTTTCTGGGAGATGGGCATGAATTCACTCCCATCATGCATGGTTTTTCAGTATATATTTTGATAATCTGCTAAAATAGAAAGTAAAAAGCAGACATTTTGTGTTATTGGAATTTTAAGTTTTAGGTAGCTCCTTGGTATTTAGAGCCCCTTGGGTACTCGATTATTACTCAGCTGGCCAGGATTTATAAGTCTAAACAGCAGGGGCTACCATATTTTATTAAGCACTGATAAATATTTAGCGAAAGACCTTTGCTTGCCATTGATGATATGGGAACTATTTGATTGCACCCTTGTCCTATGGGTGAAAATCTTTTTTTTTTTTTTTTTTTAATGGGGTGTTGATTCGCAGAGATCAGGAAGTAAACAATCCACTAACCCTGCTGACAACTACCATCTGGCCCGGAGACGAACCCTTCAAGTGGTTGTGAGCTCCTTGTTGACAGAGGCAGGGTTCGAGAGTGCTGAGAAAGCATCCGTGGAAACATTGACAGAGATGCTGCAGAGCTGTAAGTACCAGGAAACAATAGGCCTTCTTCGAGTCAACCAAACATCTGTTCTGTGTTCTGCAATCTGATAGTGTTAAGATTTAGGAAAAAGAAGAACATAGTAAAGTGACTTACAGGCTTTAGAATCAGATGGATGTGGGTGTAAGTCATCGGTCTGCCACTTCAGAGCTTGAGCAAGTCACTAAACCTGAACCTCAGTTCATGAAGTAGGATAATAATTTGTATCTCATGGAATTGTGAGGATAAGTGAGGTGCATATGTAAAACGTTTGATGTTAGGAACATTGTAAGCTCTTGATGAGTTGTAGGTGCTGTTGTGGCTGTTTGTTGTCTGAGCTCAAAGAAGTTATAGTTTTGTTGCAGCGTCACAATTAATTCCCATGAATGGATGCTACACATTGGGTAATCAAATGCTATAGCATGTGATACAAAGAGGGAGGGCAAATAAATTTTATAGAATGGAAAAAAACTTGAAACAGGTTGAGGTGTAAGAGCCTGGAATGGTCTCACATAGGCTTTTCTGCTTATGCAATGTATTTCCCTGCTTGGGTTTTATTGGAGCGGAGGGTGGAAGGTAGGATGGGATGAGAGATGGGGTTACTTATGTTGTCTCTTGAGGGATCAACGCCTACAAATCAAAGTGAGAAAAAGGTTTAGGCAGAGGGAGAAGTTAACTGCAATGTAGGCCAAATAAAGAGTTGGCTAACTCAGTGGGGAGCTCTGGAGCAATTTGTTGCCCTTTAGAGTACGCCACATCAGGCTGAAAGGCTCTGCCTTTGTACTCAGTTCTCGATCAGGCACTAGATGTGGGCTGCCCCAGAAAGGACGTGGTCTGAGGTGAGGTGACTCTCTGCAGCTGATGTTCGGAACTTTTAAATACCAGATGTTTTCCTAAAGCAGTGATCTCAAATGTTTTGGTCTTAGAACCTCTTTAGACTCTTAAATATTGCGGGTCCTGAGGAGTTTTGTCTACATGGCCTTTCTATAGAGCGATTTTTGCCACATTAGGAAATAAAATTGAGAAAAATTTTAAGTGTAAACATACATAAGCCCACATTCCATTATCCATCAGAGCCATGATATCATCATAGGCCACATGGCCTCTGGGAAACTACATGAGACAATGAGAGTAAAAAAGTCAATGTCTTCACTTCATTATAAACATAGTTTTGGCCTCTGGACTTTGGGAAGGATTTCAGGGCTGCCTGGGGATTCCCAGACCACACTTGGAGAACTTTTGTCCTAAAAGAATGGACTAATAGTTCCCATCAGAGAAGAATTCAGTTATTGAAAAGATCTTGGAATTCAGAGTTTAAAGGTCCTCGTGGTTGAGGCAGTTCTTTCTGATACCACTGGACAAGAGGGCCTTTTTTCTCTCAGAAGAAATAGTTGCCACTGAGGGGGGATGGAGCTGAAATAGTCGTGTTGGAAAGCTGTGAATATTGAAACTGAAAGGCTTGAAAATAGTATAGAAGTCTGCCACTTCGTTCCAAGGAATACCAAGGATAGATGGCTTAAGCTGGGGTCTCGCTGAGACTTGAGCACTTCCATGTTGTCAAGAGCTCTGAATATCAGCGTTTCAGGATTTGCATTAGTTTTAAGCATCAGGCAGAGTTTTTGTGTTTGTTGTCTACGGTCACTTAGTTTCTAGGGACTCCAGTCTTAGACTGCGTTCAGAGCAAAGTCTCTGAATACTCTTTTCTACATTTCTTATACATATCCTTTGAAATCCTAGGACCTGCTAAGAAAAAAAAAAAGAAAAAGCCAAATGGGTAAAAATATTTTAACTGCTACCTGGCTTGTTTCTAAGACATTTTACCAAGATTCTAATTAGATTTTCCCCACAGTAAACAGATGCCGCCCACCATTTTCGGGTATGGAAGCCAGTACTAGTGACTTGCCCAGGGTAGTGGCAACCACTTGCTTTTAACTCCTGAACCATCAGGGCTTCTAGAGCAGGGGATCCTTACCTTTTGGGTCTTCTTTTGTATCTGATGAAATCTGTGGATCTATCCCTGGAAGAAGGTTTTTCTGTATGTAAAATTCAGCATAATTTCAGAGTTTTCATGGAATTGCCCATCCACCTCTGAAGCCCATTTATGGAGCCCAGTTTCATGCCCCCCCTTTTCCCTGAAGGACTTTGGCATAACATTTTTTTTAAAAGATTTTATTTATTTGAGAGAGAGAGAATGAGAGCTGGAGAGCACAAGAGGGAAGAGGGTCAGAGGGAGAAGCAGACTCCCCGCTGAGCGGGGAGCCCGATGTGGGACTCGATCCCAGGACTCCAGGATCATGACCTGAGCCGAAGGCAGTCGCATAACCAACTGAGCCACCCAGGCGCCCCCCCCCTTTTTTTTTTTTTAAGATTTTACTTTTAAGTAATCTCTGGGGCGCCTGGGTGGCTTAGTTGTTGGGCATCTGCCTTCAGCGTGGGTCATGATCTCAGGGTCCTGGGATCGAGCCCCGCATCGGGCTCCCTGCTCAGCGGGATGCCTGCTTCTCCCTCTCCCACTCCCCCTGCTTGTGTTCCCTCTCTCGCTGTCTCTCTCTCTGTCAAATAAAAAAATGAAATCATTAAAAAAAAAAGATTTTATTTTTAAGTAATCTCTACTCCCAATGTGGTGCTTGAGCTTACAGCCCCAAGATCAAGAGTCACATGCTCCACCGACTGAGCCAGCCAGGTGCCCCAGTAACTCTTAAATAGAAGTTCAGCTTCAGACAGAAGAAACAAAAACTTGTTCCTTCTCCTCCTTTTTTGGTGGCAAGATATACATAACATAAAATTACCAACATGACCGTTTGTAAATGAACAATTCAGTGGTATTAAATACATTCACAATATCAAACAACTGTCAACACTATCCATTTCCAGAACTTTCCCATCATCTAAGCAGAAACACTGTGGGACGCCTGGGTGGCTCAGTCATTAAGCGTCTGCCTTCGGCTCAGGTCATGATCCCAGGGTCCTGGGATCGAGCCCCACATGGGGCTCCCTGCTCAGCAGGAAGCCTGCTTGTCCCTCTCCCACTCCCCCTGCTTGTGCTCTCTCTCTCTGACAAATGAATAAATAAAATCTTTCAAAAAATAAAAAATATAACAGAAACACTGTATTCATAACATTAACTCCCCATTCCTCCCTCCCCCAAGCTCCTGGTAACCTCAAGTCCACCTTTTGTCTCTATGAATTTTCTGTTTTGTAGATACCTCATATAAGTGGAATCTTAAAATATTTGACTCTCCATGTCTGACTTATTTCACTTTGCATAACATCTTCAAGGTTTGTCCATGTTGTAGCCTGTATCAGAATTTCATTTCTTTTGAAGACCAGATAATGCTCCATTGTATATGGAGAGCACATTTTGTTTATCCATTCATCTGTGGATGCTCACTGGGTTGTTTCCACCTTTAAGCTATTGCGAATAATGCTGCAATGAACATTGGTGCTCAAGTAACTATTTTCAGTTCGCTTGGGTGTATACCTAGGAGTGGAATTGCTGGCTCTTAATGATAATTCTGTACTTAACTTTTTGGCACCTGAGACTAAGACTTTATGCCTTTGATCCTTTGCTAGACATTTCGGAAATCGGGAGGAGTGCCAAGTCCTACTGTGAGCACACAGCCAGGACGCAGCCCACACTGTCAGACATCGTGGTCACGCTTGTTGAGATGGGTGAGCACCCCTCCAGTTTTCCAATTCTCCAGTGCCGCTGAGTTGGAAGTTACGAGAGAAAGAAGAGTCCCCAGGAGTTAGCTTCGTCCACCGAGTGTTCTTGAGTTCCCTCATGAGTCTCCTGGTTTGCTTTTAGCTTGAGAAAGACCTCCTACTTTCCTGTTGGGGGATTCTGCTGGAGCTGCTTTTGAGTGGCAGCAGAGCACTCAAGCTGGGGGTCTCCACTCTTTCTCCACAGTATTATTCCCCCTCCCGGGTTCAGTAGCCAGTGGTCTGGGCAGTGAGTTTTGCTCTCCTGTTTCTTAGGTTTCAATGTGGACACCCTCCCTGCTTATGCAAAACGGTCTCAGAGGATGGTCATCACTGCCCGTAAGTAACTTTGAACCAAGGTACTCAGTAAGTGCTCAATTAATGGTTGTGGAATGACTTCATTGAATAGGGCAAGGATCGGTTTGTAGCTGCTTCCCATTGTGGGCTCCCCTCCATTATTTGGGGCTACCTGCAATAGGATCTTTATTTAGGTTAATAGGATTAGGGTGCAAAGTTCAGTCACCAGAAAGGTAAACCATTTCTGAGGTGTTGCTATGGTTCTTGTGCTTTAGCCCCAGAAGAGGGCTGTTTGAAAAATGTGAAAGGTCTCAGTCTTTCTTCAGTCAAGTAAACTATGGCCTGGAGGCCTAACGTGGCCTACTGCCTGTTTATGTAAATAAAGTTTTATTGGAACACAACCATGTTTACTTATTATCCGTGGTGGCTTTCATGCTATAATGGCAGAGTTAAGTAGTTGTGATAGACTATATGGCTGGCAAAACCTAAAATATTTACTCGGTCCCTTTACCCAAAAAGTTTGATGACTTCTCCCTTAGATAAACTGAGTGCCGTAAACTGACTTGGGAGTAACTAGTTTGGGCTTGTAGGACCTTGGGGAGAATATTCTAGATTTTTTTTTCTCCACTCTTTTCATGCTGGCATGTTTTTAAGAAATTCTCTCAGAGTAGCAGTGGAAAGGGCCATTTTTAATCCCTTCTTGTTTTCCTTAGCCCGCACTGACTTAACCCTGCCTGGCTCAGGGTTTGTCTTTGTCATCTGGGTTCTGTGGAAACAGAGCTACTAGCCCACCCAATTTCCTTAGTTCCTCAGCATGCTCCCTTATGTAGTTAACTTGTCACAGCCACCCACTCACCTACCTAAGCGGCATTGCAGGCAGGTTGTTATATGTGGGACCGTTGACCCCAGGTCATCCAGCAGGGCCAGGCATTGCGGGGGTGACCTTCCCAGGTCCTGAAGCCATTAAAGGTCCTTTATTGATAGAAATACAAAGTGCCTGTTGTACAGTGAGAACACTGAGGTCCAGCATTTACTTGGAGTAGACGAGGGTTGGGGTAGAGACCCACAGCCTGGGATGGCAGAATAACCGGTTGTGACTCTGTTGCAGCTCCAGTGACCAATCAGCCGGTGACCCCCAAGGCCCTCACTGCAGGGCAGAACCGACCCCACCCGCCGCACATCCCCAGCCATTTTCCTGAGTTCCCTGACCCCCACACCTACATCAAAACTCCGGTGAGTGACGTGGCCATGCTGGGGACTGGGGCTGATATAAAAGTAGTCCGTTCCTACTGACTGTCAGACTGGAGTCCATAAGTTTGTTGGTGAAAGGGTGGTTCAGACTTAGAATGTCTTTCCTCATTGACACACGATTTGGCAGAGGAGAATGTGCTCTCGTTTGCCAGACTCGCAGTTTCGCCTCCCCTTGGGAAGGTGTGGTGGGCCCAGAGGTCTTCCACACACATCCTTTGTCCTCACCTCCACCCCATGTCCTGATGCAAATATGGCCATCAGGCAGACTGTTGGGGCAAGTCCTCCAGGACATTTCTCCACACCTCAGGAATAATCTAATCACCCGCCATTGCAACACGGCCATTTTCCTTGACCAGTAGTCTCTGTATTAGTGTTGTAGGGTTGCACGCTGTAACGAAATGCCACAAACTAGGTGGCCTAGCACAACAGAAATGCGTTATCTTATAGTGTGAGAGGCTAGAAGTTCAAAATCAAGGTGTCAGCAGGCTCCCTCTGAAGCCTGTAGGAGAATCCCTCCTTGCCTCTTCCTAGTTTTGAGTGGTTTGTAGGCAGTCTGTGGCATTCCTTGGCTTGTGGGTGCATCCTTCCAGCTGTCTTCACGTGGCACTCTCTGTCTCTCCTCACGCCGCCATTTTCTTCTAAGGGCACAGTCTTACTGGATTAGTACCACTGTACTCCAGTTCGACCTCATATTAACTGATTACATCTTGCAGTGACTCCATTTCCAAATAAGATCATATTCTAAGGTACCGGTGTCAGGACTTCAATAGCATATCTCTTTTTGGGGGGACACAGTTCAACCTACAACAGTGTTTCACTCTTGTATAGTGTATCTTTGTCAGTAAAAATATTAAGCACATATTCCAGTGTTTGCTTATTGACACGAATGTAATGTAACACTATGCCAAAGTTATATACATTAACGGATAATCTCACCCTTATTAAAGGTTCAGGAAACGTGTTTGCTCCTTTATAGTGGCAGCCAGGGGATTGCCTCTGCTTTTTATTTTTTGAAATCATGGTTCAATACTCGGTGGGATAGTAAGTTGGAGGTCTGATCCTAAGATCAGTTTATTTTGGTACTTGAACAGCTCTCATAGTTGAAAAGGCATATTGCAAAGCTATGCAGCATCATCGGCTGCCGTTAAAAAATCATAAACCTAATTTTTTTCTTTCTCATCTACCAATTATTTGAAGAATCTTGTTAAAAATTTTCTATGAAATTTCCAGCTTCTTGAACGTCAAATGGTTGTCTTTATAAATAATTGTAAGATCTTGCATTTTAATGTTTTTAACAAGTATGTTCACAATCTACTCCAATTTTTTATTTGGGGAAGATTTTAAATATGTCTGAAAATGCTCTTTCTGTGTCTCAGTGTAGACGGGGAAAAGCATACATATAGGTGACCCGCTCGAATTAACACTGACAGCAGTGGGGATGTTTCCAAAACCTCTTTTTTCTTTTCAGCAAACTTTTAATAAAATATCACGAACATACAGAAAAGCACAAATAATAAATGTATAGTTGAGCTAGTACCCGGAACTAAAAAACAAAACAAAAACAAAACCGAAAAACACCATGGGGTGCCTGGCCGGCTCAGTCAGTGGAGCAGGTGACTTTTGATCTCGGGGTTGTAAGTTCAAGCCCCATATTGGGTGCAGAGATTGTTTAAAAATAAATTCTTTGAAAAAAAACCCAAGACACCATAAACCAGCATTCCTAAAGGCGCCCATTCCCCTTTAGTGACTAACCCCCAAAAGTAATCTAATTTTTATCACCATAAATTCTTTTGTCTGTTGTTGTGCTTTATGTAAACTACGTGGCTTCTCTCACTCAACATTTTGTTTCTGAGATTCTTCCGTGTTGCTGGGTGTAGTTGAAGTTTATTCAACATATACATAATCTTTTGGCATTTGAGCTAATCCAGGTTTTGGCTTACACAAACGGCACTGCTGTGAACATTCTAGCAATTTTTGTAAACCAACAACTGTCAGATACTCGCAGTTTTATACATACAGTTCAACCCATGACATGTCTTTTAGCACACGTATGTTTGCATTCTGCTGAATATATACCCAGGGGTGGGATGGCTGGGTCATTGGGGATACGTGTGTTCAGCTTTAGTAGATACCGCCAAGTGGTTCCAATACTCTTAAAAATCTAATCTCTATATCACGAAGAGTACTTGCTTTTTTGGTCATGGTTAAAGTGTCAGTTTTACCGTTAACAGTTTAAAATGTTTTTGCTAACTTCTCATCCTGTTGAGATCTTGGTTGTTTTTCACTCGGTGATGTGATTGCCAAAGAGCTCATAATTAGGAGCCAGAGGAATGTCAGCCCACCATTTTCTTGTTCACTTGCGCTTACATTGATAGCCTCGGTCTGTGTTTCCTAGAGGGGCTCTTTTGGGACAACTTATCCCCTTTGTAAAGGTTGGTTTAAGAAAACAAGTTGATACGTAAGTGGCCACTCACATACTCCGGGATGTCCCATTACACTGGTAGGGCTGGGTGCTCCCTGTCATGGCTTCCCTGAGGGGATTCCCACTCTCCCTTCAGGGTGTGTCTCTTATGCCTGACACCAGCTGTCACAGAAGCTACATGAAGGCCCGGGAGCATTCGCTTTAGTAAATGTGTATTTCTTGATTTTTAAGCTTAAAAGTAAGTATTAGTGATAGTTACATCATTTTCTTTGTGCCCCTCCACTGCCCTTGGGGGTCTCGGCTCCAAATAACGTCAGTGGGCCATTGAAAGGGTAGAAGGAGATCACAACAACTAGGTATTCCTCTAGTGCCTTTGCTGTTCTCTTTCCAGACGTACCGTGAGCCCGTGTCAGACTACCAGGTCCTGCGGGAGAAGGCTGCATCCCAGAGACGAGACGTGGAGCGGGCACTCACCCGATTTATGGCCAAGACGGGCGAGACCCAGAGTCTTTTCAAAGATGACGTCAGCACGTTTCCATGTGAGAGTCTCTCCCCTCTGGGGATCCTGTCTTGTCATTTGAAATAGTCATTCCATCTTCCCTTTCCCTCAGCATGATAGGAAGACATGAAAGCTCTGTCTTTGTCTTGGGGGCAGGTTGTTCTTCACATTTCTGACTCCTGTCCCCAGGTCTTAAAGGCCTGTGCCTAACCAGTGACTGTAAAATGTTATGGCCTCTGTTGGGATCGCCTGTTTGAGGTTGAGTTCAAGCTACCTCGAGGATGACTGACCATAGGCATCAGAGAGACTCACCCAGGAGAAGTAGCAGCCCTGGGAGAAGGAGGGACACTGAAGGCAGGGGGTGGGGCACTTACCGAACACCCTCTGCACCCCCACCCTTCCCACCCCCTCACCCCCGTCTCTGCCCTTCACCGTTCCTTTCACAGGCTCCACGTCACTGAATTTCTCATCTCAGTGCTACCATTTCACTGTGTGGCCACATTACCTCGTCTCCATAGGCCTTGGTTTTTTCAGAGGTGAACAAGACATTGGTTTGGGTGATTGATGCAGTCGGCAGGGCCCTGTAGAATGCTCACTGTGGGCCTGGCCCTGGATAAGAGCCGCTAACAGTTCAGTTGCCAGACCTCGTGCTAATCCTTTCCCTTATGTTACCTCACTGAACCTTCTCTCAGACCTGGGAGTCAGGAACCTCTCCCACCACCATTAGATGAAGCCGAGGCTTTTAGAGAAAAGAAATGAAGTCATTTCCCCAAAGCCACACAGCTGGTAGATAGAATTCACCCTAGCTCTTCCTGACTACGGGACGCCGTGTCGGAGCCACAGCAAAAATAATCTCAGAGTGTCTCCTGCTAATCACGTTCTGCCATAGAAGTATATACATAGATGATGTCTTTTAATTTTTTTTTTATTAATAATTTCTTCTTTTCGTCAATGCTTTTTGGAAGAATTGGAACGCTCACTTACCTGAAGTGCTCTCTAGCTTGGGGGATATTTACTTACATGCAGAGAGTTCTCAGGTCCAGTATTTGGACTTGAGTCCTTTAGGCTGAAGAGATCAGTATCGCTGCTCAAGAAATGAGGCTGAGAGGGCTTAACTAACCTTGGGTCTAGGATCACTCAGCTGATACTTCACTAGGATTCAGCCCCGGTTCTGTCTGTGTTTAGTTATACTTGGTAAAAGTGGGCTCTGAGGCCATATTGCCCGAATTGAGATGCCACTCCACCACTTTCTGTGTGCTTGACGAGGTCGCTCCATGCCTCAGGGTCCTCCTCCGTAAAACGGAGCTGGCAATTGTACTTAATAGGGTGGTGGCAAGGATTAAAGATAGCGTATGGGACATTGTGTGGCCCTTGATGAGTGCTCAGAGTGTGTCGGCCATGACTGTTGTTCGTTGCCACTCATGGATCTGTTGGAAGGCTCTTGGCCTACTGCAAGGACACTGACTGGAATGGTGCCTCTCTTCCGATTTCCCAGTGATTGCTGCCAGGCCTTTTACCATCCCCTACCTGACCGCCCTTCTTCCGTCAGAGCTGGAGATGCAACAGATGGAAGAGACGGATTCCTCGGAGCAGGATGAACAGACAGACACAGAGAACCTCCCTCTTCATATCAGCACGGTGGGTCCTGCCTTCTCTCTGCTTCATAGTACCCCCAAAACTCACCCATGCTGCCCTCAGCCTGGCACCCTGAGAAGCAGACATGACCTACCCCGGGCCTCTGGTTTTGTGTTAGGGACTTGCGTGATGGGCTCGTGATGATCCAAGTGTGACATGAGCTCTTGCATGAGAGACAAGTCCATGTCCTGGGGATCACTCATTCATTCACCAGATATTGAACGGGTGTCTGCCAGAGCCAGGCACAGTTCCGGGTACTGGAGAATTAGTAGGAGACAAAGTAGACAAAATTTCCTGCCCTCACATAGCTAAGAAAAATGATGACTTAGAAGATAGGAAGTAGTAGGGGTGTGAGCGGACGTGGTACTGGATGAAGATAGGAAGTAGTAGGGGTGTGAGCGGACGTGGTACTGGATGAAGATA